TTTGAAGCTTCTGAAACGCTTCACAGATTTCCAAAATGTCGCATACGAAAGATTTATGGGCCTTCAAAGTTGAAGGTGCGCCTTCTTAGAATTTTGGGTTTTCCACTTCTAACAGAAGTACTTTCCGGAGAGTTAGGCAATCCTTGTAGTTTTCTGAAAGCGCACCTCAGGCACAATCAAAATCTACCTCAACAAGTCAAAAAAATACGTCCCAAGAAAGTTATTCCCCTCTAAAATTTTTTCTTCGCCGCGTCCCGTTCTTCCAGCGCCCGGGTGATACCTGCCGCGCTCCAAGGCCGACGCGACGACGCGCAGACGCTTTCTGGCGCAACGGATTCATGTCTAGCACTCTTATTAACAAAAACAGGGGGTCGCAACTGGACCCCCTCGAGAGCTAGGGGGTCGCAAAAATCCCGAAAATGTTCGTGACGGTTGACCCTGCTGGGGAGTGGGGGAGGGATCGTGTGACAAAATTCTTCTCGACGCATCGCTTGACCCCGAGAAGAGCACGCGTGACCGCGTGGACGCTGTGGCGGACGAATCATATGGTGATCACATGGATACTTTTGCTTCTCATGCTTTTCACTTCCGCTTCTTGATAGTAATTATTCGATTTGTTGTTAAGATTGCTGCTTCTAGGGCAAATGCACCCCATTTTCTATTTTTCAACGTTTTTTTTGCATACAAAAGAATAAGTGGATGATTAATGTGTAGATGGGACCAACCTAAAATTGTGGTTGGCAACTGAAAGCAGAGTCAACCGCCCGTAGCGCAATGATTAACGAGGGGTTCGTATTTGGCAAATGGTGGGAGGGCGCGGTGGTGAGCTCAAGCACCAGCCTCAAAATTTTGAAAATACCAAGGTGTGACAAAGTAGCAAAGAAGGACAACCTTTCGATTATCACTTCGACTGCTAATCTGAAACGTTTGAATGGCGACATCCGAGAGCAGGAAGTTTTGTTGAATCTCTCATATCCCAATGAACACAGATAAACAAATTTCTTAATAAACTCTGATGTTTGCAGTGCCAAATCAAAGGATAGACCTTCCAAAGTCTTATAGAAAATTCTGATGAAAGAAAGGTTTCGACTTCGAACTTTTTTGAGGAGAATCTAGCGTATACTATACAGTGCGTACCAAAAGTATGTGGACACCCTAGAATCGATTCTCAGGGGTCAGCTAAAGGCTTTTATGTCATGAAACCTTCACCATTCAACTCCTAGTGGTCGATAACCTACAATGATATTTTCGGCAAAAGATTTCGTTCTAACTTAGCGAACTATTTTTCATGGAAAGTTTTTTCTTTGTATCAAAATTATGTGGACACCCTGAGGCAGATGAAGTTAGTGTGCCAACTCGCTAACCTAGCCATTTTTCATTCCTCTTCACGGTGAGCATTTTTCTAAAGAAGACCAAGCACAGATGGAGTCCTCATGTTGCTGAACCTTCCAATTGCAAAATCGCACGTCAACTTGGCCGTGCGTCTTCGTATGTTTAAAAAGATCCAGAATCCTGATGCTAAGCTCTCGATAATGACTAGGGTCTTCCACGATCGTTACATATTCAAAACAACACAAGAATAGCTCGTGATGTGTCAAAATTTCTTTTATCTGCTATCACGTTCGCGTTCAAATGACCTTCTCGGTCTCAAAAATGACCAATTAGCGTTCCATTCGATCAGATGAACGCATGGACAACAGAAAATAAAGAAAGCTTCGTGAGAGGAGCTCATATTTGGCTATTTGGGTGGGCCTCATTGTTTTTGGAGGGACCTTGGTCGTACCCGTAGACACGTCGGAGGAGGTTCATCAGTAGTCTCGGGTGGCTCCAGAGGAAGGAGAAAAATAGAGTTCGGCTGACCAACTGCCAAGTAGACAGCTGGGATTAATGAGGTGCATGAATCACGGTAAAACCTTTTTCGGGAAGTCACCTTCGCGAAACACTTCTTTAGCAGCAAGCCCGATGGGACGTCTCTAACAGGA